TCTTCATCAGCTTTATCCCTCCTTATGTGATTACTTTGTTGTTGGGATCTCTGCCCTTTTGTCACATGTGCAATTTCATGCTTCTGATCTGCATGACCTTTGTCTGGCTCGTTTCTTGTACCAGTCATTTTTTTGGAGGTGTCCCTTATACTTTAGAGTCTTTTTTCTTCTCTTGTTTCTCATCTTCCCCAATTCCCCCCTGTTCCTATTCCTGTGTCTTGCCTTCCAATGCCATCTCCTATCCCTGTTCTATTTTACTGTATTTCAGCTGCAAGTTGTCAGATTGTCCATTGTCAACTTATCAGTATTGTTGATGACTACGCCTTGGGTTCTGGCCCTGTGACTCAGTTGGCCAAATTTGCTCATCTGTTATATGGTATCCTTTTGTGTTAGGCTCTTGGTTTCTTCAGGGGGCAGCTCATTTGAGGTGGCTTGTCAAATTGGAGAAGTTACATCCCACTCCCACTTTGTATCTTATTCATCTGGAAATATTTTTGACTCCTGCCTCAGCAGGTCCTAGCTTTCTTCTCTATGTTTGAGGAATATGGAGCTCTTGGTGTCAAACTTTTGGAGCTCCTGGCATTTGATCATTTCCTGCTTATGGTAAGGGGTCACATGATCATAATTCATTCTGGCAATTTGACTATTGTCTCTTTTATTAATTATTATACGGACACCAGTCTTGTTCACTTTGTTTTCAAATAGTGGATCTTCTTTTCTGAGCCTAATCTCAACAAGTTTGATTTCTTGCTTGTCACATCACAGGTGCTCTGAATCTTGTTAGTGGATTGACTCTCTTATCCCCACAAGATTCTACTAATGAAATGGTTTCTTGCTCCTCAGGTGTTCTGGTTGTTATGCTTCCAGCTGGGTATTCCACTTCTGGATTCTTTTGCCACCCAACTCAATACTAAAATCCCCCTCTTCTGGTCATTGATTCTGCATCCCTCAGCTCTGGCTGTGGATGTGTTCAGTCAGGACTGGTCCAATCTTTACCTGTATGCGTACTGAACTGTCCATCTTCTTTTCTACACTTTCCTCTTATTCAAACCACGCTGTTCAAGTCTTTCTCATTGCTCCCTTCTGGCCACTCCTGAATCTCCTTCAGTCATCTTCTCTCATGCTGCTTTTTTTTCTCCAACCCCTTCTTTGGTAATCTCATTCCTCCATCACTTATCCCACTGTAGTCACAATCCATCTTCACACATGGGTTTTATCCAGTCCTTTGCGAGATGATCCAGACTTTCTGCATGAGTAGCCTTCCTTTTTTCTCATTCTGTCCACTCTTCCTTTTTTGCTAGTTTACCAGCATAAATTGTGCATTTTTCATCACTAATCTTTGTGTCATGGCTTTTCACCTTCACAACCAAATGTTCCACATTATTCCAACATTTTTACTTGGCATTTGACAATGATTTATTTGTTTCTACTATGGTGGGCTATAGAGTGTCATTATCCAATACTTTTAATTTTTTTTGCTTCTGCCATATTTATTCCTTATCTGTTCTTTCTCTTCTGTTTTGTTCCTTTCACTTTCTTCGCCCTCTCCTACCATTTGCCTAACAAAATTATATTCTCAATGTTCTCCTTCATGGATTTACCCTACCACCCTTTGAACCTTTAGTCTTTTTGTTTTATGTACCATCTCTCTTTCAAGACTTATTTATTACTCCTCTTAGGTCAGATGTCTTTGCTATTGATGTTTCCCACATTTTTTATCACCATTCATATGTTCTTATTTATCGTAGTCATAATTTTTTGCATTGTGCATCTATTATGGGCATTACTCATTTTAAAGTTGTATATCATTTGTGCATAACTATATTCTGCAGAGATTTGTAGAGTATTGTATCTTTCGAAAATGTTATGAATAAACCTTTTTTTTTAGGTTTTATAAGTTGCTAGTGTTTCATAATTTGCTTTTATTTTTTCTCAATTTAGACAGTTAGAAGAATAATACAAATTCAGCAGGCATAACTATATGGGCCTACAAAGTAAAAGTACAAATCTAACTATAACACCAGTATTTTGCTAAAGATAGGGAAATTTCGGCTACCATACATAACATATGTATTTATATATTGTTATTATTTATTCTCAAATGCTCAAATTTTAGTTATTTTTCTTAAAACCTACAAGAATAAAGAAAATATACTTAAAAAAAAAAAGACTTTGAGTACTTATGGTGGTTATGAGACTTTGTGCTAGAGCATCGCATGTGCTATGCCTTGCTGTTAGCCTTATTTATTCTTCTGAATGGAGGATGTAGTGCTATTAATTTTTTACGCTTGAAATATACATATAAAATAACAAAAAATCAACTTACTATATTAGTGCACACAAAACACCTGTAATTTATTTGGGTGTCTAAACAAGCTTTGTGAGTTTAAAAAAAAAACCCGTTTCTCTTCAAAGCAACAACTTAGTCATCACACTTCAACAGTTTAGGTGAAATTACGATTTTGTCCTTCAAGCTATTTACAAATGGCCATAAGACTTACATACTCAAGTAACTGCTCTTTCTATTGATTATAAACTCTTAGAAAAATAAAAATAGGTGAGACTAGATAAGAGGTTTTTAAAGACTGGAGTAGTAGGAGGAGCCAAACTACTAGATTGGCTATATATACTTATATCTCAGCAAATCAAAGAGGTAGGAGGTTCTTATTTTTAATTATAACTTGTCAATATCTCCAATTTGAGTTTCTAGTTCATTAACTACTGCACTCATTATATGTTAGGCATAATTAATTATAAACTGAACAGTAACACAACAGGAAGTGTTATGTGACACGCAAAAAATAATATCATCTTTTTCTTTATATTTCCTTTTAAATGAAGAAATTAAAATATATATAATATTAAAATTTGAAATATAACCTTCATTTTGATGTGAATCCCTTTGATATAAATAATATAAAAGCTATTTAATAAAATTTTAAAAATAGATCTCTAAAATGTCATGACATGCACCCTTTGACCTGCCCATAGTGAAAGGGTTAAAGGTGATTTCATTGGTCACTTTGAGATCTCTTCAAGCAAAAACATCTTAGGGGCCCATTATAATTACTTGTTATTTCCTCACACACATGCCCTTCTAACCTGAAAAAAAAATCCCTTACTTTATTGAATGCATACACAAATTCAGTAGGTTTGTCAAAGAACTACCACAGAATACTCATAGTCACACTCCCTGCTGGGACATTTTCTAGCAAAGTGTTACTGCAGTTTAAAATGGTCATTACTCACATGTATGAGGCCTCCTGATTATTGTAGTAGGGTACTGTTTCATTGGAAATTTAAAACTTTTTATTGCACAGTTTCTGTATTTGCTGACACCTAAGAAGAGGTTGTTAAATATTAAAAGACTACATTCTATGCAACTCTTGCTTCTGTCACAGGTTTTGAACATAACATGAATAAATAAAAGTTATGCCAAGTCTGACTCAGTAATAAGTTCAAAGTTATATATGTATAACCAGAATTCACAGTTTTCATTAACTTTTAGACTGGACACAGACTAGAACCTCAAGAATTTTGTGATATGAGGTTTTAACTCAGGAAAAATACTTACATGAGAGGTTGTGCTTTGCTTTCAAAGGGAGATAATACCTATGCTTATATTGACTGGTGCATATAGCTATATAACTGTAACTACGGACATGGTCCACATGTCAATAATAATCTGAACAAGCAAGTATATGTGCTAGAATAATCCCTGTGGTATGTAACCTATTAGAGGTAGAGATCAGTGCAAGGTTGTGTGGACTGCATTGTGTTCACAAGGATATGCTGTCCAAAAGTAAGAAAATACAGTTGAATGAAGGTATAGTCATATTACATTTTAACTTTGTGTTAATTCTGTTTATGAAATCAGTGGATAATACACTAATATATTTTTCAAACAGGAATTTTAGATCACTATTCTGATTATTCATTCTACTATACTGTGCTTTTGTAAGAGGCAGAGTTGTAATTAGTGTAATGCATGACTAATGACTACAGGTTTCATGCATACAGTTTTACTTGTTAGTAAAATGAAAATAACTAAATGATTAGTGAAAGTCTAAAATGTTTTGTTGACATGGATTTAAGTATATTTTTATTTATCAGAAGGTTTTTAATGTCATTACCTGCCTTATCTGTGAAACTTCTCATGAATGGAAAATTATGTAAAATTAGGTCTTATCTAAGACTGTGGAAATTGATGTTACTGAGTTTAAGACTGAGTTTAAAAAACGTTGAATAAAAATTTATAATGTAGTATCGTAAAGGCAAAATGGACTTTTTAAAGGTAAATTCTAGGCAGAGGTAATGATGGCAAAAATATCCACTGATTTATTGCCCTCGTTTTGACAGAGAATTATTATTTATTGTGGAACACAGTAGTCTGTTTTATAATATTTTATTCTTTTATCCTTATTATTATAATAGTGACATTCTTCTTATCCTTGTATCTTAGGGAAATTACTGTTCTACTTTCTTACAAGGTTGCTTCGTTTAGATTGAGCATTATGATTTTTTCCTTGTAGAACAGAAACAGTTAAAAAGTCTTATTTTCCAATTTATATATATATAAATATATATATATGTATGTATGTTGAATGAATGCTTCAGATGTTTTAGTACAGTTGTTAGTTAATATTTTTCAATGCATTACACAGTGTTCTGCAAATGTGCAGACATCTTTAAATGATATGTATTAGCTTTGTAATGAAGCAAAATTGTATTTATTAACAAATTCTAGAGTTATTAAGAAGAGAAAAATATTCTTTTAAACCATACCTGTGTTAAGCTTCAGTACAGATTTTGATAGCACTAAAAAAAAGTGCTTACTCGGAGCAAAAATCAGATTGTTTCTTTTTACAAAGTATTGTAAGTTTACTCTTATGATACGATTTCTCAATTTATATTTAGTATAAAGTTGCATACTCCTTATCTAGGAAAAACCAGAATTCTTGGAACAAGAATTAAACTGCCTAAGCAGTGTTTTGGAAACTGTGAAATTTTTTGATGAATTCTGTAAACCTGAAAAACTGAAATGTATGGAAAGGCTTGCT